GTGACGTCATTGTTGGAAGTTTTTAAATATAAGGTCCCAACACTAATGCATGGGTTAAAGACACACCGACATCCAAACTGGCCTTATGAACAAAACTAAGGCTAATCCTGAGCTCAACGGGTAGGTGGCTATTTAAAAAAAAGGATTAGCAAAGAGGCCAAAGATAAGCTTCTCAAGGAATATTTAATTCCAGAAAATTGCATTTTACTTAAAGCCTCAAAACTTGAAATCTCAGCGGCGGTTGCTGCATTATACGAAACCGTGACAAAAATATTTTGTTGAAACAAGAGCAACTTGGACAGGGCATTGCTGCCATTAGTAAAGCGATTGCTTAATTAATCTTAGGAGATGATAAATTACAAACTGTCGGAATCCTCACAAACAGGTGTAGAATACTTACGGACTTACATTTTATAAACTCAAGTCAGATTCAAACACGTTAAACCGCAACTTGAAAAATCTTTCTTATTGATTTTACAAAATCGAGAACGGGACGATACACTCTTGGGATATGAATATCCGAAAAAAATTAAGCTTCAAAAGCCATCGAAAGACGAGCTCATCAAATAAAGAAGTCAAGTGAAAACATTAGACCTCATGATGTACAAAATGTATTGTTAACTAGAAAGCTCCGCATAAATCAGCGACCGCTCAAACCATCAGCCGATGGATTCAGCAGGTACTAACAGATTAAGGCGTGGATGTGACAGCATTAAGTGCACACATCACACGTCATGCTGCCACCTCAACGGCGCGTGCACAGGTTCTCTTTCTGGACCTTATTAGAAAAACTGCCGGATGGACGGAAAATTCGAGAGTGATCGCAACATCTTAAAATCGTCTAATAATAAATCAAAGTCAATTCGCAAGCAGTGTTTGTCTTAGAAATAATATAATTGATAAATATATTATTAAAAAACTTGAAATATGTATTTGGAGAAATTAATTAATTAGGAATAATAATCACTATTGTTATAAAAGCAACACTGTTTACTTGTTACAATGTAATAAAATTGTATTTCAACATACGCTCCATTTATTTCCATTTTTTTAAATCGATTCAGTGACAAAATTTCATACTCTAAACATCTATAAGTGTGTTATATCTGAAGAATGAAGCGAATGAAATATAATAGACGATCAATCGAGCTTCGAAGTGAAGTTTGATCACTATTACATCTCCCACCCTCCCTAACCCAAGAAATTTTGTCACACCTTATCTCTAAAAAATGAGGCTCAACCGCTTGGCGCCCGCGCCAGCCGTGCGGGTTGTAGTGGGCAAGCTAAAATAAAAATATATCAAAGTACCTTCTCTGAAATGTGCGTAGTAGCCTGTATGATAAAAGGACTACAAGCGTATTTATATCTGAAGAATAAAGTGACTTCATATAATAGTGATCGAATTTCACTTCGAAGTTCGTTTGATCATCTATTATTATGTTTATTGGTAATCATTAACAAATTTGTTTTTTTGTCATACAATATTGAATAAAATAAAAAAATACAACTTAAACAATGCTCTCAATAATATTAAATAAAAATTGGCTTCAGCTACTAAAATGATATTACAATAAATGTTTCGTCTTAAAGGGTTGTATGCTTGGATATGAATCAGACTCTACTGACCCGGTTCGCACGGATGCGACTCAGCTCAGGCTTATATGACTCAAGTTATACTGTTCCCACATTATTTATGTTAAACTTTATTCATTCACTTTTTCTAATTACAACATTTGCAACTCAAATTATCCTTTTCTCATATTATTTATATTAAAACTTTATTCAGAAATTCACATAAAATCACAGAAGAAAAACGAGCCCCGCCTATATATAACACAGGCCCAGTGCGGGTTGGTATCTAACGACTGCAGAGATGAACCCGTGACTAATGTTTTAACGTACCTTATGAAGTACCGAAAAGCTCGTGATAATAGATTGTTGGTCACCCATCTAATCCAAGTCTTAGCGAAAAGCGCTTAATCCGTCGTTTAAAAAGTCCGTGAAACGAGCGCGCTAACCAATACGCTATTAAGCTCCTTGATCCTCCTCTAACAAAGAAACAACGGGTAAAAAACCAATGAGTTAATAGCGGATTTGTAGCGTCATGTGATCCGACGCCGCCGGCCGGCGCAGGCGCAGCGTATTGCAGACGGGCATCGGCAGCGTCCGGTCGGGCCGGTCGGCAGATGTACTGCGTTTCACCTCGCGTGTCGCGAGTTCGGTGCACCGCTGACATTCCACAACGTTGACACAGGCCATTGTTGATTTGCATCGCACACTCAAATCTATTTTTGTACACCGATCGCAAACCGGTATCGAATTAATCAGTACCTATTTATCATAGCAAAAATAACCATTTATCAAGACGTTGAGCTAATGATTAAAAAATTACGATAAGAAATCCACGATGGCCAACGAGTCTTTATATTATACCTATATATACTCATAACTTTAGTACACTCAAAGATAAAATCACATAGGATCTCCGTGAAATCACAGTTACAATAAAAAAAATACTACCGAATTTATTTCTCAAAACTTTATCATTATTTATTGTTCATAAATAACTTAGCTATAACATAGAGCTAAACACCTTTCGTCAGTATTAACTTACAGTCACAAATCCTCATTTAACCTTAACGTTTTAAAAATAACTACATATTTATAACGCTTGAACCTCTCTGCCCCCGCAATTACTCATTTCCTTCAAACAACAATCGATTACAGTCAAGTATCACCATCGTTCACCGTAAATTTAACTCAATTATATCATCAAGGGGAATCGAATTGAAACAAAAAAAAAAGTTTATAATAAGCTTCATAAAATGAGCGACTCACAACACGCCGTAAAAAGGGGTATGATGCGATCATTAAGTACCTCTCGGTGAGCGTAGACAGGGCGTAGTAAATGTCACGTTGATTACTCTGGACGTGAAATGACGTCGACCGCGACGTCGGTAGGTACCGCGCACTCGTCGTCGCACCACCCTATAATTGGCGGTATCGCGCTCAACGCAAATGTCAACACCACAGGGTTGTGCCTTATGGAGCGTGTTGTTCGAAATTCAAATGGCTTTGGAAGAAAGAAGTATTCTTATATGAAAAAAGATTATGTCTTTCTTAAATAAATATTACCCAACTGCATATACGATGCTTGCAGCAGAAGTCATGATTGCATACACTTTGAAACCAGCGACGTGTGAGTCCCTGAATTAGATAATCAGACATAACATAACTTTTAATCGGGTTGATGGTAGAATAATAAAAAAAGGCCTTATGGATGCTATATATTTTCATAAACTTCATTATTTATATTTATCAAGTACAATCGTCCTGATAGAAACCCCTTGGTGATAAAAGAACCGATCTGTTGACCCACTGCGGTCAAAAGAAAACCACTAATAGCGCATTCGAAGCAGGTGCTACAAGATCGAATGGAGCTAAATAAAAATTAATTATTCAAATTATCATAACATCTGGCGACGATCGCAGGTTGTCGTAAGAGTGGTATGGTATAGTGGAATTTATCAGCAATAAGTAGTTAAGTAATGTATAATACGCTATCTTATATTCCTTGAAGGATCGGCAGGAATATCTTATTACGATATGTCACCGAATTCTGATTAAAATAGGAGTAAACCTGACTGCGTGTTTGCATTTTCATAAAATTAACTTGTCATTTAGCCATCTGATCACAATTCTACAACGCATAGCCTTCTCCCCGATACTTTAATATCAAAAGTTCTGGCATTGTTTGTCTGACATTTAAAATATCCAGGACAGGTGTCCAATATTGTGTAAAAAAATTGATTTTATGGTGAAAAAAAAAATAATATGTATTTTATGTCATACTTCAAATAAAACTTAACGCTAACTTGTCACAATTGGTACGAGTAGTTGTTCTTGGAGTTGTTTTTAGTACGAGATTTTTTAAGGTATCTTATATAATATAAAAAAAACATACTTTTAGCGCCCCCAAATTATTATACACTATCTTTCCTGTCCTGAATTATACTTATTTAATTATTATAAACCTTCCTCTTGAAGCACTCTGTATACCTATTGATTTATAACTCATGAAAATCCGTTGAGTGTGTAGTTTAATAAATCTCAGTATGCTTGATACGGTTTGCAAAAATGTATAAAGCAAATTTTTACAAACTGTATCAAGCACCATAATCATATTTTGAATGCCAAATCGTGAATCACCCTTCCGTGTTATCCGGAAACTTTATCACGATCAATGACAAATCTAACAGTTCACAAGAAAAGGTCGTGTTCCGAATTTGGACGTCGTCGAACGTCACCGATTCACCACCCTGAGTCAGAGCGGGGTGAAACCCCAAAATAGGTGTTGGTAACATGATTACTGTGTTGGAGTCGGGGAAGGGTTCATCGAATTACCTCTCTGATATGCACCTGTAGACAATGGACACCATTAAGTTACTCGATGTCTTTGACAGATGAAGCGTTACTTTATTAACAACTAGTTACGCCAGGCAGTTTCATCTGTATAAGTTCCAAATATCTAAATAATTATTTTTTCCAAACTATATTCTTACATTGCCCGTTAATAGCACAGTATATATAAGATAGTCGTCCGAGTTTTTAGTAGATATGGGTAAACAATATATTTGTTTTAAGTATGTCTTTTTATAACACTAACGTATAAAATATATATTAATGATTGAAATTTATATTCATTTTTCGCCATAAAATCAATATTTTTACACAATATTGGACACTTGCCCTAGATATTTTAAATGACAGACAAACAATGCCAGAACTTTTAATATTCAAGTATCGAGGAGAAGGATTGGCGAATGCGTTGTAGAATTATGATCAGTAGCATCGGATAATGACTAAATGACAAGTTAATTTTATCAAAACACTGAACAAATCCGGTGATTTTTAATTTAAAATAACCACATATATAAATAATATGGTATAATGAAGATAAGATAATTAAAAAAAAGTTATCAATACAAAACTATAATATATTATCTGTTCGCGGTATTGGACAAAATTAATCTGGCTTGAGCTTTAACAATTTCACTCAAGTCTTTCGATAAAAAACGATCACACATTTTATAAAAAATATCTTCTTGCTCTTCTGTAACTTCCATTACTTTTATACGCTTTTCACAGTCCGATAAGTCTGATTTCAACTTTCTTTTTAGAATAGTGTCTGCATTAAGTAATCCAGCAGTTTGAATAAGGTTATCTGAAGATATTTTAGCCAGTGGAATAGCATCTTCTGTCTGAGTTGAGGTGCTCGATGTTGACAAATAAGTTTGTATCTCTCTGTCAACTTTATACGGGCTAGGCAGAAATAAACAGGGTGACGCAGTCTTTTTTAAAAGTTTTCGTTTACTGTTTTCTTCCACATCTTGTACATTGAAATGAATTTCGCACACACGATGACGATGTGAAGTGACGCTCGCCAGTTCCTCGCGTCCTATTAGTTGCAGCCACTGTAAGCGTCTAGAAAGGAAACCAAGCTATATTAATGATAATAGCATCTAAACTCTGGTACCACCTTATTACTCATCAAACTACAAAATGATCTATTTATTTAACACTTTGCGAACTTTTCACACCCCTTTTATAACTTTTGATAGGTGGCTACATCGATCAGTGATAACGTAGCATTCTATTGATGAATGAATTTCTCAACCCATTTCAGTCGTTTTCAAGTTTATTCTAATAACATAATATCCTAACGTTTCAAACATACAAATCTTTTCTCCTCATATATGTATTAGCATATAATAGGACCTCACCTTTTATATTCCATTGGTATAGAAAAAAACGAAAGTTCTGGATTCACTTCTTTATTCTTCATGCAGCCAAATACAGAACAACGACATATAAACTTCTTCGACGAATTCATGTTTTATCGTTAATAAATGCGACAATCCTCAAGTGAACACAACAGCGAAGTAACGTGGCGCGTCCCTGTCTGACGGAGGCCGAGCGAGGCCAAGACTTCGTAAGTGCACACGTATATGTATGTACGCGTGCGCCACACATACACACCGAGTAGATTTTGTACACCTTCGTTCGGAGTCGGACTACTTGCTAATATTTAACTATGCTGAAATTAAGCTTTCACATTGATGACACAATTTTTGAAATGGGTCCAGTCATCTTTGAGTTTATCGATTACAAACAAAACACAAATCTAATGTTTCCCTTTATAGTTTTCGTAAAGAAAAATAAAGTTAAACATAAATGGTTAACATTACCTATAAATGGTCATGGGATGGCCATGCCATGTATAACATGTCATATCTTTCTGACATGAGATAACTGGTCCTGTGTCATGTACATACAGAAAGACGCTGTACAGAAATTTACAAGAACAAGAAGAAAGTGAGGATGAAAAAGCAATTGTTAAAGTAGAAATTGAAAATTATCTAACAGAATAACAATTAAAAGAAACCAACCTGTTACACTTTGAACATTATCATTGTCAATAAATACGATCTGTATACTAATCAATCTTTTTTCATCACACTAGATCATGGAGTATGCTTACTGGACTTAAAACCACGATATCTCACAAATGATGATTCGTAAGTATTAGAATTTTGTTAAAAATGGGGAAGTTTGGGTAGTGAACAATAAGTCACGTCACGTAAAATTTACGTCGTAATAAACATAGAGATTCTGATTTTTAGTCTTAAAATCGCACGAATATCTTATTATCTTAAAATTAAAAGTCGTGATGTTTTGTCAGTGTGACTTGAAACACGACCCGCCATTGTATGACGTCGCTGTGGCGATTTAGTCATAAAGATATACTTAATAATTATAAATTAAATTCATTGACATCTTTTAATCATCTGTTTTTGTGTACATGGTGCAGCCAACTGGTTAAAACAGCCAGGCATTTGGGCGGCTAGCTATATAGTTGGATGACGCCATTCAAAAAAAGGTTTAACCAGCCAATCAGTCGGCTGATTCTTCCACTTGGCTGCGACATACAAATCAAAATAACAACGTTTTTATTTAAAGAAAACGTGTTTATTTTTCAGAAATATTTGCTTTATACACGTAACTTTTTAAATTAAAATAAATAGTTACAAGTATTATTTCAAACAGAGTAGGACACTTTTTTGCATAATGTACAACTGTTCTCTTTCTCATCTTTACAATAATATTTACGGTTTCAGAGAAAAATGAGAAAAACCTGAAATTTGACCGTGGGATTTTTTTTTTACAGAAGTAGAATCGATGGCGATTTCTGACATTTTATTAATAATGACTTTTATATTAGATAACATCACATGTACGTACGTGTAGACAATACAGAAAATTTAATTTTCTATAACCACCCCTACAGGGGCTCAAAACTTGAAACTTGAAACCGGCATGCGAACCGCTCTTAAGTGGAATTGGACTTTAAAGATTTTTTTTCTTAGTATATAGCGAGCATGTATGAAAAGAGTAATGAAAATGGAGGAGGCGAAAGATGTATGTAATAAGGAGCGTGCTTTGTGGCACTCGGTCCTGACTATCCTCCGCAAGTGAAGGTATACGGCATAAAGATATAGACTTAGCATCAACGTCTGTCTCGTGACAACACTAAAAAGTAAGTAGGAAAAAAATAGTTAAAAGAAATAAATTTTTGAATATCGTTTTGTACCAATTACCAACATCATATTTCTCGGTTATTAATACATTTGTATTCCATTAGGGAATCGGTTCCACTTATCGTACAAGTCAATTAACTCGATAACCCAATACTTAATATCACCATTAGAATTTATTTTTCGAATAAATTTACCAATATCCGCACCTCTAATTAGGTTTCAGGTAGGTAATATGGAGCACCGGTTATGTTAATCGCAACCGATATGTTCAAAAACAAACAATGAATGGGCCCGATGATAAAAACGACTGGAAACTCAACAGCTTAATACGAATACAATAAAATTATTACGAAAAAAAATTCCAAGACGCCGACGTAAATGCCAACTGGCCAAAATAGGTTTAAGTCCTACTTCAACAGCGACGACAACACATGACAATGAAGCCCGGTCAGATCAACGTTTCACCTCAGAATGAGAGATAATAAGCCGGAAACTTGTTTACAGTATACAAGTTTTCAGCTTATTAAACCTTTTTCGATATTGTAACCTTTGAACGTTAGTACCTTAAACCGCAGGCGAAAATTTACGTGACATTTGGAACAACATTACAACGAAAAAGTAAACGTTATATATATAAAATAAGTTTCTTTTATTGATATATATATAAAATAAGTTTCTTTTATTTTAATTGCTAGTTACTCGATTACTTAATTACTCGATTGTAAAGAGAGCGTGATCATCGATACTTTTAATTTTATTAGAATGGTGACACTGACTTTGACAGTTCGTTAACAAAAGCTAATTGCCGCCATTTTTGGCACACATTCTGTTTCCGATCGCCGAGGAGTAAAGAAATCTGACGACATCACGCTTATCTCATTATATTTTCGTGTGAAAAGTGATAAAATGGAACAAATCCACGTTGGTATACACGCCTGCAGTGTTATTTTAAAGATCGTCCTCCGATATGGACGATCTATTTGGGCTTCGTATTAGCCCCTTCGGACTACCCGCCGTTATATATATTTGTTCTTATAGGTTGTCAATTGACAGTGCGAATCAGTTGGTCGCCTATTCGTTTATTAAGAGTTCTATATTATTATACAATGGTCGTCAGTATGAAATAGTGTTAAAAATTAAAAAGAAAGAATTGCAAACTTGACCTTGAAATTGCATTCCAATTCACGGAGGCAATCGTATTTTCTGTACAAACTGTAAGGCGTATTTATCGTCCTTTATGAATGAATCACTATAAACGTATTCACACAATTCCATACTAACTGCTCGTGTGTCAGCCGCTCCTCATCCCACGCAACTCGTAAATGCCGACTTCAGAGCGCAATCTAAAGAGAAAACGAGACGGCATTGCGAGGCCAGTCAATGAGACAGAGATATAAAGTGTTTAATAAAAGGTTCCAATTAAATGTCAATCAATTTCTCTAGAAGCATTACAATTAATGTAAAATATGTTGGACACTCTACATTACATATTTCAAAGCCTATTTCTTAACGAATCTCGGTATAACCATCAAATTGCTATCATTACATGGATGGAAACCAATTACTTCCTGTCAAAAAAAAAATACATGATGACTTTTTAATACTGGGCCCTTTCAAACAAGAAAAAAAAATACAATGGCGTCAGATACATAGGTAGCGGAAAGGTTTTTTTACGTTTCAAGCACATGTTATGTAGTCATGTCTGTCTCATAGAGTATAAGTCTAACTCCTATAACACCATGTATATGAAATGCCAGAACATTGTCCCAAAAAATATATCGAATCGAATATATTATTAAAAAAATGAATATAATTTTCATAAATATGCTATATTGAAGTACCGTTTGATCAATAGTTTATAAAGTCACAAATATTACATTTTCTTATGTACTGTTCCATTAATAAAAGTGTATAGGGTATAGTATCTAGTAAAAGTTTAAGTAAATTATCAAAAACAAATAACCTAATTCAGAATATATACGCAAACGCAACAATATTCATTCAACACAACAACTCACATTAAAAAAAATATTAGATAACGATTGCGATTGAAAAATATAATATGTTAAAAAATATTATTGTAGCACCTGCTATAAATATAAGCATTTATTCATAATCCACGTACGAAATTATTATTCCTATATAATATCAATGATTCTTTGTACGTGGCGGCCTTCTTGTCGTTATATGATGCGAATAATATTAAGTCCATAATACGAACACATGTCACCCTTCCTGACCCGCGCAATTTGACCGCCATTTTGTGACCCGTTCAACAGGCGCGTCGACTGTTCCATAAGACGTTTCGAGTAACACAAATTTCAAACACATATGTAGCTATTAACAACAGAAAATTTGCACAAAGCATTAACTAAAATAATTTTGAATCTATATGTAGGTATGACATGGCTGTCTTGTTTTTACGGAGCCAAGACCCAAAATGTAAAAAATCTCTAGTACGTAGTTTACCTACATTCCAAAAAAAATATTTTTGATTATAATAGAAGACATATTTATAGTATTTTTTTTTTTACTTTATATCATTGCTATAGAAGCGAGCTCCAATAAGCAATTTGTACTAATCTACTTATCGAAATATATTTTTGAAACCGAAAACGATATTTCGTTCACGTCCGATAAAACTTTATTGCTATTCTTTACTCGAAAATTTTGGAAATTAAATTAAACGAATGAATCAATCCTCATTAATTAATCAACGAGCGGTTGGCTCTTTCCATAAAAATGTCGTTAGCTATAAATAAGAAACGTGAATAATAAAACATAAAAAGCATTTTCGCTGACAAGAAATCTGTTCCAAGAACTTATACTTACATTTCCGTATTATTTATAGATTCGATGAGCCGCTTATTATCTGTAAATAAAGAAAGAAAGTCTTATTATTCAATAAAGTAATATTATCTATATTCTTATTCGTTATCCTTATTCTATACATATAAAACAATGTTTCCCCTAAATCATGTGGAAAATATAATTTAAAATCCATACATAGACATTATACATTACTATTTGTACGAATAAGCGAGACACCTGAAAGCCTATTTTGTTTCCCCTGAAACGAAATTTTATCTATTTCCGAAATGCTAATACTACACCTAAGAAACGCAATTTATGTGTTAACTGATACTACCTCTGATGCACAGTTAAATCAAAATCGAATGAAACTAAATCAAAACAAACCGCACGGACCGAATAAATACATAAAAGTAACACAAACTAACAAAGCGTTCCCCACAATATTACATAATAATGGACTAATAAGTTACATGTTTTTATA